GCCTCGGATCTTTCTCTGCACCCCTCTCCAAACCTGAAATACAGCGCATGGTGCTGGCCGCTGCTCTGTGGCTGCTGGCTGCTGCCATTCCCAGAAGGGAAGCTGCGCGGTTGGCAGCGGACTGGAGCCGCGAGGTTGCAAGAGGATCTGACTGGCAGCCAGAATGCTGAGGATTCACTACTGGTTCCCACTAAGCTCAGCGCTTGAGAACTTTACTTCAGTCACTCACTAGTCATGCCGTGGATCATAGCGGCTGCATCTCATCCCACTCAATTGTCCCCTCCCTCGGTGGTGCGGTGGTTCGCTGGTTGGGAATGGCCTGAAGCCAATGGGCAATGGCCGGATCTCTCCGGGTCTATGGACCAGGGCTCTGGGGAGAGAGCAGGTGGCTCCTTCCGCCTGGGAGAAGCCTGGATGATGAGCTCTGGTGTCTGTCTTGGGGTGACAGGGCTTATTTGTCTTGGGTTGAAGAGAGATACTGTGACATTCCCTACCCTCATGGTCTGAGGAGTAACCTTGGACTTCATTAGATCTCTTGAAAACTAGATTAACTGGAGGGGGTCACCATACCTTTGATGCCATTGTCCCTGTGGCACGTGGATAATAAAATTCAATGTGACTGTCTTACCACCAGCACTTTCTTGGAGCTACCGATGGGAATGCTGGGAAAGGAGCCCGACCTGAGCACAGGGAAGACAGAAGGCGGCCAGGGTTGGGAGTTCTGGGTGACAGGAAGCCCAGGGGAGCTGGGGTTGAGGAGAGCTGGGCCCTGGAGGAAGGGGAGGGAGGGACAAAGAAAGAGAAGAAGGAGCCTGAGCCCGTGCAAAAGGAGTCCTGAGAGTCCTACTTCTGAGAACAGGTGTGTGCGAACAGGCGACCCCTCAGGCCACAGTGCTCAAAGATCCTCAAGTCCTGTCAAACAAAATGCTTTTCCCTGGCTCTCCAGAGAGGCAGCCAGCACTTGGGTTCCTCTCCTGGATCTACCCTGCCAGGCAAGCTCTGGGAATAATGCAGGCACCACTTACTTCCTCTGTGGCAGGACGAGGGATGCCTGGTCCTGTAGGGGACCTGTACTCTCCCACCTACCTCCCACTCGCTGGATCAATTCTGATGAGGTAGGGTAGGTCTCCTGACTCTGTCTGGAAAGCCCAGCGTGGAGACAGGAAAGGCCTAGTGCCTCCTGAACACCTAACCTTGCAGGTCAGGGAGGAGAATGGAAGTTCAGAACCAAGCTGTGGCATGCTTAGGATCCAGCCCCTGTATCTGTAAAATGGGAACAATGATACTTCCATCCCAATACCGACACCAAAGAGGCTATTGGCAAAACTGGGCAACATAAGGTTTGTATGCTGAGCCCAACAGAAGTTCATTTTCATCCCTGTTCAGTCCTATCCAAATGCCATTCCACCAGGAACTTGGGCCAGGACAGGGGTTCATTTCCATGGCAAGGATCATTAAGGGCAGGTGGCTGGGACCTGGGAGAAACGTTCACACCTCCTCAAGACTCTGTTTCCTCCTTTCTAAAATGTGAGCCTTGCTTCCTTTTAGGGCCACCGAGAGAGTAAAGGAGAAGAAGCTAGCCCAAACCCACTAAGTGCAGGTAATGGCTCAGGTAACCTTGAAGTAGTCACCAGCCCGCCATTCTACAGGCACACACCCCACAACCCAGAGTAAAGATTTTACATTCACTTAATACATCGTTTAAATATTCAACACGTCTCTGCCTACAGATCGCGCACTACATCACGCACAATTGCAGGACGGCGCCTTCAGAAACATTCACCAAGTGCATGCCACCTGCCAGGCGGCCTGCAGAACCAGACGCTGGCAAGGCCCGGCTGGTCCCAGGATTCTGACTCCTGCCTGGTCTTCCCGCACACGTTTGAGCCCTAAAGCTGCCGTTCTGCATTCCCTCTTGCTTCCGGACCTCCACCCGTCACCCACACTGTCCAGTGCCAGGAGCCTGGCCTGCCACCGCCACCCCCCTCCCCGCAGGGTTCTGCGCAAGGACACCGCTCTCTTTGGCAGTCAGGCAGAATCGCAACCTGAATGCTAGTAGGGTCCGGGGAAGGGAAGGGGGAGAGCCAGGGCGAACCCGGGAAGCGGTGGGAGGTCTGAGCCCGGGAGACCGGCGAGAGTCCACCCCAGCCGGCTTGGCACTGGCTCCTCCCGGGCCGCCAGGCTGTGGAGCAAAGGCCGGCCCTGACACGCACCCGGCCTTTTGTGCGGAGGGAACACAAAGGAGAGGGGAAAACTCGTCTTCCGTTGTGAAGGAGGGGGCCAACAGCTCCAGGACGCCTAGGCCAGCCAGGAAGTGCCTGAGCCTGGCTGGCGGATTAGCCTGAGAAGTGAGCGCTCAGTTCCCGGGGAAGGCGCCTGGGTCCAGCTGCGCACGCGGGTGAGAAACGCAGCTCTGGGACCCGCCCTGGACACACAGGCAGGAGCTGGGTCCCGACCAGTGCGAAAGTTTGTCTCCACCAAGAAGGGCAAGCGAAGGCCGACCCCGTCTAGTTTCCAATGGCGGGGAGGGGGTAGGGTGGGGTGGCGGTAAAGGGGACACGAGGAAGTGCCTCCAGCCTCCAACTAGCCCCAGAGCCAGAGATCGGGGAACATAGATGCCCCCCCCCCCAGGGCCGCAAGCAGCTCGGATGAAGGGAAGGCAGCCGCGGATGGGAGGAGGAGACAGTTAGGAGCTGCCCGTCAGAGCTTCCGACTTCGGGGGTGAGGACCACCAGATGCCGCTGCACATCCTGGAACTGCCAGGACAGCCTGGCCTCAGGGCTAGGGGGTGCGGAGCGGCTGGCGGCGAAGACGCAGGGCAAGCAAGCGCTGCGCTCCCGCCTTCAGGTTCTGCTTTTCCAGGCTCTAGATTCTCGCCGGAGTGGAATGGATGCCCCAACTCTCCAACTCTAGCTACTGGATCGAGTGTGCAGGAAATACCAGCCTTCTGACTCTCACAGACTCCCGACTGGCAAACCAGCGGAACGCAACAAAAGAAGGAGCCAGGGCCCCCGGGTGCTTCAGGCAGCCACGCTAGCCTGGGCGGTTGCTACCTAATCACCCACATGTTGTGCCGCCTGAGGTTTGTTAGCTAGGTTGGCAGGCGCACAGCTCCACGCCCCAGCTGGTGGCCCCACAGAGCGCACCCCCACACGCGCCCTCATTGCGGTTCGCCCCAAAGGCCCAAGAGTGCTCCTCACATGCCCAAGCTCCTAATCTCCACCCCAAACCCCGAGTGACAGATTCTGCTAATTGAACGGTTATGGGTCATCCTCGTAACCGTTGGGCGACATTATCACTACGCTTCAGTTCTTCATGTTTTAAATACATATTTAACGGATGGCTGCAGAGCCAGCTGGGAAACACGCGGGTTGGAAAACAATGCTCCAGAAGGCACGAGACTAGGGTAAACGACAGCCTACTCTCTAGGGGGGACCCCAGAGGGAGATTTATCCCTGGGGAGGGCGATAGCCAGAGTTTTCCTGTCTACTCTGACTTTGCTACAGGATACAAGCTTTGCTTGTTGTTAAAACTATATATGCGAATTAAAATACCAAGCAATGAAAGCAACCAGAGAAAGAACGGTTAAAGCTCTGTGAGAGGAAAAAAAAAATCGGGCTCTTATGTATGGGGGGGAGGGCTATTACCTCAGATATGTACAGAAAAATACCTAAACAAACAAACTTGAGTTAACAAACAAATTTGAGCTGAAAATGTCTGAATATGAGAAACAGTTGGGGGCTGTGGAGAGAAGTCACTGTCTTGATGTTTAGGGACAACGACTGCTTGAGTCTGTGGTAGGCAAGGGCCACCTGTATCGGACCAAGGATGCTTGTTTCTGTATAGGCTTGCTGAAATCAGTCCCTAGATTCTCACTTCTGTAAAAATGGATAAACGTGTAGTTATCTTTAGATTGCTCCAGACAGGTCTTCAGATCAGATTTCTTTGCCTTATGTTTGTTTGTTTTCGATGCAGGCTCCCACCGTAAAAAGTGTCCCAAGGCTGCTAGCTAGGAGCGCAGATCAATTATCAACTCCCCTTTAGGGCCTCAGAGAGTTCTTTACAGATAATGTTGCCCCTAACCCACCCTGTGGACGCCTAGATGGTGTTGGAACACTGGGCTGCACTCCCTTGCTAATAAGTGAACCGGGGGGTTTAACCGGTTATGCATTAGTGAGATGACTATGAACGTCTCATCCGTGCCATACATACAGCCCTCAGCATTATGAAGAATTGCGATTTCTCCCGCTTCCTTGCCGATCTGTGTTCTCCAAGGCCGTGTTCCCACCTGGGGGCGCTACCGCCTGCCCTCCGAACAGCAGCAACGCCACCAATTAGAAGTGGGATGTTCTGTGCACCGAACACTTGTGCAACCTCAAATGTTCGCAGGTGGACGAAAACCACCCGATTCGGGGGGAGGGGAGGGTAGGGGCAGGAAGACAGTCTCGCGCAGGGTGGGATATTAAAACTTCAGGTTTGGCGTGGCGTGGCGCACAGCCTCGGCGTACACTTGAAGACATTGAATTGGTTGGCTATCTGACGAGTTTTCGCAGTTCCCACCCGAGTCCTTGCCCTGGCCTGTCGCTGCAATGACTATATTTTTATAGAAAGCTGCAGATGCCCCCTCTCTCGCAGGGTCCCCAACCCTCTACCGCCACTCCACCTAGCTCGCCCTCCTCCCTCTAGCCGGTTCCTTTCCCTGCCCAGTTCCCTCCTCCCGTCCCTCCTCACGAATCTCTCGCCCGCGGGCGCCTATTGGCTGTGCGGTAAGAGGAGGCGTGTGCCTGGCCGGGCGGGTTTCATTGAGCGGAATTAGCCGGATGACATCAGCTTTGCAGCCCCTCGGGCCGGCCCAGCTCATTGGAGCCGCTACCCCTCCAGGAAAAGCACATTGTTCCCGCCCCCGCCCGGACCACCGCCGCCGCCGTCGCCGCTGCCTCCACCCGGCTATAAAAACCAGCGGAAACCCAAAAGGTGTGGATGCTTATTACAGACCAAGCAGCCGGCAGCCAGGTTCTCCTCTGCAGCGAGCACTTCGAATCGAATTCACAGTAAGTGCCCCTACCCCAACTGCTCAAGCCTAGATCCCGAGGACCGACTCCCCCAACCCCGCTAGGACGTAGGATGTGCCGGGACCCTGCCCCTGCGGGCACCTAATAGCCACTCTGGAGCGGACACTAACCGCAGCATCCCCAGGAATTCCTGTAGCGGGAGCCCTGGTCCAGAGGCGAGCCCGGCGCCGCAGCGGCGGCGGCGGCACTCAGAATGTGGGTCCGTGCGGGCTCTAGATGCGCGTGTGCAAGCGTGTTTACCGTGTCTTGTTGATGGAGATAAGGAGGATGCGTTTGAGCTTGAGACAGAAATACTTCTCTATTGAGATCTCAAGCCTCGTTTATTCCAGGCTGCAATGAAGAAACAAAACCTCTAGAATATCCCTTCCCGAGGGCCACCCAGGGCTTCCTGAAATAAAGTAATCCGTGGGCGATAGTGGGAAGGGGGTGGAGTGGGGAGTTTGTTAGGAGCACTGTCGTGCCCCGAGCTGCTAGGAGGCCAGAAACAGCAGCGAGGCGGACGCCACAGCCACCGTTGCGGGTGCTCTGAGCTGCAGTGCGGGTGCGAACAGCAACTCTGCTCATTTCTCTCCTCTACCGTCCCCTCCCCTCTTTCCTCCTCTCCTCAAGTTCCGACAGTTGGAAAAGGAAGGACCCTTCGAAAGCTGAGATTATTCCTGGGGCCATGGACTCGGACGCCAGCCTGGTGTCTAGTCGCCCGTCGTCGCCAGAACCCGATGATCTTTTTCTGCCGGCCCGGAGCAAGGGCGGCAGCAGCAGCGGCTTCACTGGGGGGACCGTGTCCTCGTCCACGCCGAGCGACTGCCCGCCAGAGCTGAGCGCAGAACTGCGAGGGGCCATGGGCGCGGCGGGCGCGCATCCCGGGGACAAACTGGGCGGCGGTGGCTTCAAGTCTTCTTCCTCCAGCACTTCCTCGTCCACGTCGTCCGCAGCCACGTCGTCCACCAAGAAAGACAAGAAGCAGATGACCGAGCCGGAGCTGCAGCAGCTGCGCCTGAAGATCAACAGCCGCGAACGCAAGCGCATGCATGACCTCAACATCGCCATGGACGGCTTGCGGGAGGTCATGCCGTACGCGCACGGCCCGTCGGTGCGCAAGCTCTCCAAGATCGCCACGCTGCTGCTGGCGCGAAACTACATCCTGATGCTCACCAACTCGCTGGAGGAGATGAAGCGACTGGTGAGCGAGATCTACGGCGGTCACCACGCCGGCTTCCACCCATCGGCCTGTGGCAGCCTGGCACACACAGCGCCACTACCCACCGCCACAGCGCACCCAGCAGCCGCAGCGCACGCTGCGCATCACCCGGCCGTGCACCACCCCATCCTTCCTCCCGCAGCCGCCGCTGCAGCCGCCGCAGCCGCCGCTGCAGCCGTGTCCAGCGCCTCCCTGCCGGGCTCCGGGCTGTCTTCGGTCGGATCCATCCGGCCTCCCCACGGCCTGCTCAAGTCTCCGTCGGCGGCCGCAGCCGCCCCTCTCGGAGGCGGGGGTGGCGGCAGCGGTGGCAGCAGTGGCTTCCAGCACTGGGGAGGCATGCCGTGCCCTTGCAGCATGTGCCAGGTGCCACCTCCGCACCACCACGTGTCGGCCATGGGCGCCGGCAGCCTGCCGCGCCTCACCTCCGACGCCAAGTGAGCGGGCCAGCGCGGGTGCGTTCTGGAGAGCCAAGGGCTGTTGAGCAGCCAGAACTGGCCAGCACTGGGGCTCCGGAGCTCTGTTGCAAGAAGGGGAGGGGGACCATGGGCTGGGCCTGGGGATTGCGGGGAGTCCAGTATCTGGGAGCCGAAGTAGTGGGACCATTTGGAGCAATAGGGAATGTGAGACGCCTTCGCTCCAGAACCTGGTTAACTCTGTGGCTGAACACTCTTGGGTCTGGGAGATGCCACTGTACAAAACGGCTACAACGTGCCATGCGGGTACGTCCATCACGGGGACTCCCCCGTCCCCGGACCCCCAGGAAGAGTCTAAAAACTGACTTTCCCGCGTGCACAGATTGACTCCCTGTCTGGGCGTAGGCAGCTCATCGCCAAGAGTAGGTTCACAGGGGCGCCTGGCTACCTTCCCCCATTTCGGGCCAGATAGGAGACTCCCAGGAGTCGCACTACAGAAGCTACCGCTGGGTCTCACTCCCAAGGTTCATCCCTGGCCTAGGGCCAGGTCACTAGGTTGGTTGACGCTGGCGTGGGTACCAGAAGCACTTAGGATCGTGTCCCGTTTCCGTAACTGGGAAAACCCGTATAGTCTCGTCTCTCCTGTTGATTTGTGATTTCTAACAAATCTGTGAATGTTCCTTTTTCTGACCATGCGAGCAAGCTTTGCAGACGCTCAAAACAGAAGCACTTGTGGAGTGAGATAATCCAAACTAGCGACACGGGACAGGATGATTTTCAGCTCTTATTTTTCCAATAGAAACTAACCCCCCCCCCCCATTCTAAGCACAAGGTAATTTGGTTTCTTACCGATTAGGGACAGCTGTTTTAGGTACCCAGGGGCTTGACGGAACAACAAACATCAAAAAGTTGCTGTGAATATAGTTTGAGTAATTTGGGAGGGGGGTTCTGTTGGGATTTTAATAATTTCTTCTGTGTGTAAATATAATATCAACGAAGTGCACGACGCTAGGTCCCTTGTTCCAGTGACTGCCAGCCCCTCCGGAGTCTAAACCCGCTGGTTTTTTTTTTTTTTTTTTTTTTTTTTCTGTTGTCCTTCCCCTCTCTTGCTCCCCGGCCTGCGCCACAAGGCGGTCTTCACCGCGCCTGCCTCCTGCCACCCACCTCTCCTGCGCGGCTCCTGCAGAGTGTATCTATCATCTGTTTTATTTTTGTAAAGAAAAAAAAAGTGCTAAATAATATTTATTACTTGTTTGGTTGCATAAAACGAAACGAATGATGGAGTGTTGAGATTTTAAATAAAATTTAAAGTAAGTCGGGTGTTTTTGGTTCCTGTGAGGGAGTTGGGGGGAGGGCCGGGGAGCCGCTGGGGACAGTGATTTCTCTGGGGACGGATTTGTAACTGGCTCACTTTGGAAAAGGATAGGGTTTTGCTACCCCCTCCTGTGACTGCATGCTGTCTTTAAGGCGCACTTGGCCCTGGTGCATACCACGGCTTTCGTGTGCTTTTCCATTTCTCACACCTACTTGGAAACTCCGTTTCCTTTTGATTTAAAATTGAGCTGGGTCAAGAATGAATTTTCCTTCTTTCCCCGGAGTGCAGAACGTTGAGCCTTCAGGTCTCAGGATGGAGCCTTTGCTGAGGTCTGGGAGCTCTAACAATGTCTGTCCTCTTCAGCCCAGATTTTATTTTCTCTCTGCTCTAGGGCTTTCTCTGGCCACCACTGAGCCCTTGGCTTCAGCTGAGAGACTCTTGGGACCCAGTGCAGCCCCAAAGCTTGGGCATTTTGTGCAAAATTCTGCAGAGGGTTTTGATGAGGACTCATTAACCCTTCCATCCCTTTCCATACTTGCTACCCACCTGCCTGCAAAGTGTGGTTGCTGGGAACCTTCCTAGCCTACGGGTGGCTCCGTTCCCACATCCCTGTGAACTTTTCTGGGGGTGGGGGTAGGGGGTGACTTCTGACTTCTCTCAGCCACAGGGTTTCTTAGAATCCTAAACTGCAACTGTTGGGCTCTACTTTCAAGATCGAGTCTGTGCAGAAAATTTTAAAGCTTCAGCTTCTCCGACAAAACTTGAGGCGGATCTGGCTCCTATCGATCAACCCTCTGGAGTGCTGGCCCAGGAACAAGTTCCCTGAAATGTCAGCCTGGGGAAGGCAGCAGACTGTTCATCGGATGACATCTTTGATGGCCACTGGCAGAAGGTATCTAGACTTGGAAATAGAGATTTCCCTGTTTTTTGTTTTTGTTTTTTGTTGTTACTGGATTTTCAGAGCCCAGCTCCTTTATTCAGGCCTGTGTGAGGGTGGGCCCTTCTGTAGCTATGAAAACAAGTACTTCTACCTCCTGTGGGTAATTAACACCTGTCTGCTAGCTAGAAATGAGGGCTCTCAGAGATGGGGCATTGTAGTCCCCACCTAGCTTACCATAGAAGGCCACCACTACTTTCTTTCTCTTCTCTCCTTAAACCTAGCGGGAGGCATCTGGAATTCATAGGGGCTCAGAGAAGAGAAAGCAAGCAGACCTGAGAAAGGGCAGTACTTCCAGCAGGGCCTAATCCTGTTTGTTTTGAAATCCCTTTTGAAACAAAAGTTGCCAGGTGTTTGGTCCAGCCCCACGTGCAGACGTACACCAAAGAATACCAGGACAGGGGAAATCCCCAGAGCCTAGCTAAGACCTTGGCGGTACAAAGATGGGCAACTTTGTGTGTTTGAAGCTGGTTCAAGCCTTATGCATAGAAGGACAATTGTTGAAAGGAAAGAAATCAAATCTGCCTTGCCATCTCAGCACCAAAATATGTAGGGTACAGGCTAAGAGCCTCCTCACCCTACCAAGGAGGGTGTTCATCCAGGCTCTGAGCACCCCTGAGCCATTAGCCTCAGCTGTGGGAAGGCCTGGGCTCCCAGCTTCTCTGGCCTTGGGGAGCATGCTCAACAACAGGCCTCCAACCACAGCAGGAAGTTCCTGTCCCAGGGTGAGCCAGGTCAGGATGGAGGTCTCTCATCCACCCTGAGAGTTGTCACCAGAAGACTGTGAGTGGCCCACTTCTGACTTCATCACAAGATTTTATTTGTGACTTCTTTGTCACAGATTTTATTTTTCCTTCCAGTTCTGAGCAGCTCCTCAGCCTCTAGCCATGTGCCTCTCTTCGTCACCATCATGACTCCCAAGTTCTCAGTGGCAGGGCCCAAGGGCTCATCAGACACAAGATTTCAGAGACAGAAGTCGGAACTGCACTGGAGACAGTGGATGGAGCCTGGTGACACTAGCCTCTGCACCCTCCCCCCCCCCCCAGCAACCATCTCCATGGTTCCCACTCTCCCCATAGGGCCCAAGTCCTAGAAAGGGGACTGATGCCCTGGGCTCAGTGGTGGAGGACTCTCTGTGGCATTGCTTGAGCTATAAGATCCCACTGATGCCACAGAGGGATCCCACACCCTAGTGACAGTGAGCGGAAGGACAAAGCAAACTGACAGGTCAAGTGTGGCATGCTGTGGGAGGACTTTAGTGTGGCTGTGGGAAGGGGCACCCTTGATGACTCAATGACCCTACAGCTACCCAAGCAAGACCTGTGCCCCTCTCCCTTCATGGGGTAAAATGCTGAAGATTTGCTTGTTCATGGCCTCGTTTGGGTTGGTGGCATTGAACCCTGTGAACGATAAGCAATGTGTTCTGCTATGTTCTATTTATTTACTTACTAATTTATGACAGGCTAGCCCAAGCTAGCCTCGAACTCATCTGTGACCTAGGCAGGCCTTGGACATTTAATCTTTCTTCTTCAGCTTCCCAAGTAACCAGCATTACAGGCTTGCACCACTAGATCCAGATGTGGTCAACCGCCGCCCCATGGTCTTCTCATGATCTCATGACTCGGTGATAGAGAATTTGTCTGTTTCCTGTTAGGGCAGAATCAGCTTAGAAGTCTGTCTGAACTCTATTAAAAGCAAGTGCCCTCAATGCTGCCTGCAAGCCATCTTAGGCGAAGCCCCCACAGCCTCCGTCTCTCCCCTCAAACTCCATTTATCACTGTAGATCTGTGCCTTCCCCTCCCCACACAGGCCATAGGAGGCCTTTACCAATTGCCCTACATCAAGGGCCACAAGACATCTTGTGAGTGAGCAACTGTCACTCATTGCAGACCCATGATAGGGACCAAAATCAGGCCTGCTGTTCAAAGAATAAATAGGGTCCTAAGGCCACTCTCACCGCTAGGGAGAGGCTCAGGAACTCTCTGAGTTAGTGTGACCACTGCTCAAAAGCCCAGCATCCCACACAGGGTAATTACTCCAGTCCCTGTCAGGGTATAGGGGCATCCTAAGAAGAGATGAGGGAGGAGGCTTGGCTCTGGTGGTACTCACTAGAAAGGGATGACCACACACACACACACACACACACACACACACACACACACACACACCGGTTTTCAGCTATATCCCAGGAACTGAGTTATTGCCATATGGCCGCATTGTCTGGCTGCAGGTTCATGAAGGAGCGTGCAGTTAGGACCCAGGGCTGAGCTGGCAGTTCGGGCTATGAATAAAAAGACTGGACAAGGAGGTGGACACATTTGTTGAAGGCTAGTGGTCAGGCACAGCATTGAGGGCATTGTGTGTCAACCCATGAATTTCTCACAGTAACTCTGAGGAGGTGCTATTATCCCAGTTGCAGACCAGGAGCCTGTGTGAGGGCAAGGGAAAACAGTCTATAAACCCAGGCCATGTGCAGGCTTGTCCTGCAGCAGTCTGTCTGACTGAACCTATACCAGCCCCCACCCCAGGTCCAGCAGTCTTGAGACTGGCTTAGCTCCAATTGGGGAACTCTTGAATCTGATGTTGCCCCCCCCACCCATCAACCGGCATTAGGGAAGCTCCTGGGTGCTCCCCCTAGATGCCTGGACCCCATCTGTCCCTGACGCCTCCATCTGGGTTACAGGCTGTGCCAACAGACTTTAGCAATTAGCCGGCTCCGATGGGCGCGCTGCAAGGGTGGAGGAAGGGCCTGAGCAGGTGAGCCAGGGAAGCTGCTCATTAGGGACTGTCGTTACTGCTAGGACAGCTGCGGGTCTGGTATCAGCAACCCCAAGCCTCAACCCCTATAGGGTGGCGCTTTAG